TGCATCACTGATGAACACAAGTCAACAGCGTTACACTGTTGAGTAAAAGCCAAATACTCCCATCAGACAGATGCAAATGAGAGTCAAGACGCATCAGGCAATATTTTCCCTCTAGGCAGGGCAATAAAGCTTCAGCTGGAGCATGCCATGCAGCTCCTCACTTTGATTTCCAGGAAGTCTAGACTAACTGGAGAGAGGGAAACAGGGCACTGAAACAGCCAGGGTTCATTACCTGTGGCAATAGACAGAAGTATTTGGAACTCTTTAGCTGAAATAATAGAATATGGGAAATGTGATGATAGTCTAAGTAGGCAAAAGTTTTTTGTCAGACATGTGATGAACACACCTGTAGCCATAGTGCACTAGATAAGAAAGATTTGCAGTTGCAACAATAAAGATTCAATTTCCTCCTCAGAAAATATTAGCCAGCCTCTATTTCAGCCCTTTGCCCTCCCTTCCAACACAAGTGAGTTGGACATCGTCTCTAAGCTGGTATTTTTAACAGGTGAAAGAAATGCTGTTAGGAATAAAGAAAGTATAATAAAGGCTCCTAAAGTACTTCTGAAAGACCCTTCCAGTATTATTTCTGTTAAAAACCTGCATGTATACATTCACACGTGGACCAAGATCTAGAGAGGAAGGGCAATGAAAGCATGAGGAGAAATTGCTTCCTCCTGTAACTTGTCTCCAGTTTTCCTTAACTGTGGTAGAAGCAGATAGGAGTGATAGAACCAACTCAAGCTCCTAATTATCATTTGGTGTTAGGGGAAGAATATGGGCCTAGCTTCTCCAATTTGGGCTTGCAGTTGGGTTTTACATCTTCAGAAAAAATGAAAAATCACTGACAGCAAATTCAAAGCAATAACCCAACATTGTTCATTCTCACCATTAGCTACTGTTGTATTCCCAATGACAGTGATTAAGGTGCATCCTTCTGAATTAGGCAGGCAGGTGCCTTTGGAGTACAGACAGAAGAAGGGAGTACCCCTCTACCAATAGAACACTCTCATGGTCATTTTAGAAATGAGTAGAGACAAAGGAAAGCCTTGGATTAAACACTCCAAACCAACAAAAAGCACAAGGCTTGATCAGAAAAGAGTTTCTCCAGCTTTGCCTTAAAAAAAAAAGCCACATTATGAGTTTTCTGTTTGGGAGTCTGGTATTTTTAGGGGGAAATGCATGGGTGTGTGTGCATGTGGTGTTTTTTAAACCAACAAGAAAATGCCTTGGGTTTAAATTATATAAACCAATATACTGCCCAAGCTTTCTACACCCATTACACTACCTAATTCAGAGGATTAAATTTCAAATCAGATGTTCTGATGCAAGGCTGAAACTCTGCGGGGGTGGCGGAAGACAGTGAAATGAGGGAAAAAATGGTAGAATTGTGCCATTATATTTCAAGAAAAGTTGTTGCTTCCTAGGAGTACATCAAGTATTTAATGAAAAAGCCAGAAAGACACAGAACATTAGGAAACATTTAAAATCCAGACACCTGGGTCTTTCTTACAGTATATAAGTCATCTAGAAAAGGGTTTTCAATGCCTTGTGGAAAGTTCATTCCAGAGCAGAAATTGTGTCAGATGTAAACGTGGTAACTGACAGGCAAAATCAAACATTGAGAGTTAACTCAAAGTTTGGAGTTGTATTTACAAGCCAGAAATACACAGCAAGGAATTGTTGTGCACATATGGTCTGTGGTGCTGCAGCAGTATCTATATTTGCTATCACAGCCTTAAAAAAAAACAAACACCAAAACCATGAAACAGCTCTGTTATCGCTTTGAATGTAATCGTTCCCATCATCTAAATTTTATTCCTTGATGTAAACATACTGAAGATATTTTGAGAAGAAAAATCACCACCCAAAGTGGTCAAAGGCCTTGTACAGCAAATGGGACAAGAAAATGAAAATATATCTACAACTCAAGTAAAAATAATGCCAGGCAGCAGATCTGCATAGAATATTTGCTAGGCTGTAATGTTTTGTAAATTAAATTTCTGAAGGGAGGTTGTATGTGTAAACACAGCAAGCAGTACTTAGTTAATCCATAAATGTATTGGCTCAAGGAACAGTTTTACCACATGGTGTTATTTAGAAATCTGTGAGGCTTCTAGAAATTCAAAACTTCACTCTGCAGAAGAGCTTTAATTCCTGCTGCTGTGAATTTTCATAGTATCAAGTATCAGAATACCTATTGACAAAAATGAAAACACTGATTGAGATAAAATGCAATTTATTATAGTGAAAACAGCTAGACATATTAGACTTTAGGACATATTCTTCTCTTGATATATGTGCTTAATTCCTCTCAGCACTAAAGGGTATTATTTGCATGTTTCAGAACAGACTATATGCCTTTCAACTTTACTGTAATATGCAGGTTCCATTTCAAAAATGAGTGGGTGTCAAGTACAAGAGCATAACACACAGCACTCAAGAGTATTTAATGATACAAATAACATGACTGCACCATGCCAGGAGGGTTCAAAGTGTGGCTCAAGGAGATTTAAGTTAGCAGCCCTCTCCATCAGGTAATTCCTAAGGCCATCAAAATATTTTCTTTTACTTATTTGTGTTTGCTGTGCTCAGCTAAGAAACCACCCCTTTCATCCCATATTTCCAGACAAGTGAGACTCCTGCAACAGGGCTTACCAAAAATCCCATAGTAGAAAGAAAGAAATTCCACCAATAACATCTCTATGCTTTAAAGTACCTATATCATTGTGCTAATTACATAATGTATTTACAATTTGCTTTGAAAATTTAAATTATTTAAACCAGAAGCCAGGGTTTTTGCATTATTTCTTGATATTTGTCACTAATTTTACAGGGGCTCGGAAAAGTAACACAACATTTATATCTGAGTTAGACTTTGAGGTTGAGAGACTCCATCTTTCAGGTATTTTCCAACCTTAATGATTCTACAATCTCTGATGGAAGTGAGGTTTAACTAGAGATTGTTCACTATTTGGCAAGATCAGTAGGGAACATCACAAAAATGCGAAGTATTTTAGTGGGTCATACAAATGCAATAAAGAGTAGATACCAAGTGGTGCCAGTATTAAACATGAGGTCCAACACTTGCAGCAGCAGGCAGGAATAAATAGAGGACTAAAAGAAAATTTCAGCTATCAGAAGATAGCTGAAATTTTCTCTTATTCCTCTATTACTATTATACCTAAATTTTATTATTTTTATAGCTAATTATTATTATAGCTAAATATTCAAGATACTCATCTGTTTTGACTTCAACACTGACTGTGGGACAGAGTCTAGCAAAATATTTTAGTAAATTAGGAAACGAAACGGTGAAATGAAACCCCAAGTACATTTCTATCCCTAGCACTCCAGTGCTAGTCAAGAGATGTCTTAGAATGCAATCCAGAGTATCTGAAGCCAACAAAAAATAAATTGCAATTTAACTGCAGGTTCATGCAACTGCCTGGAGCCAAGCAAACAATCAAATTTCTGAAGAGGCCTGCTTAAAATAAATTTTTAAAATCCCATAATGAACAAACAAGCTTCCAACCACCTCACCCCTTTCTGTAATAACAATAACGCAACAGGTTAGATGTATCAGAATTATATAGCACAATTACATTCTGGTCCAGAAATGATAAAAATTTAGAGGAACATGAATTATTTGCTAGAGCTGCATTTTTATCAGTTTTCTTAAAGTGACCAACACTTGCATCAGGTAGAGTGAAGGATAAAGTCAAGTCAAAACATTTTCTGAATAACTTTAAAGATACCCTACTATCACAACAAAAAAATGAATGCTAGTGTAGTTTTACATCCCATTTACATGGAGTTACAAATAGAAATGCATAAAAGAAAAACTCCAAATCCCTCAGATGACAGGAAGAAAACTTCTGCAGCATAAAAGAATTGCACAACAATACCTGGGAGACAAAGCATACAGACTTTGGTTTTTGTTCTTCTTGAAGTAAAAAAAACAAACCTTGCTTTAAAACTTATGAGAAATGGAAGAAAATAAAAGAATCTTTAAACCAGCATTTACTGCACTCAGGTGGGAATGTCAGCTCCTCCCCTGAGAGGTGCTCAGGTTGCATTTCTCACCCAAGGGTTTGGCAGAGCTAAAGCAAAGAGATCCCATTGACTCCTGAGCAAACCCACTAATATACTTTTCTGACAATTGAGATAGAGTTGTGTAGCAAGGATCACAGACAAAGCTTAACAAACCTTTCTCACCCCTTTACCCCAAGCTCCACTCCATCCCCTCATCCCCAGCTCCTCTCCTGCCCTGAGTGGCACAGACACCATTTCACCATGGGCCAGCACACGGCAGTACCTGCCTGCAGCACCTTCCTCCTTGGGGTTCTGCTCCAGCAGCAACTTCTCCCCACAGAGCAGAGCTCCCTCAGGATAAAGCCGCTCCTGGCACGGCCTCCAACACCCCCCATTTATCCCCCCTGGCTGCTCACAGGTGCTTCTCCGCTCTCCTCACAGCCTGAGGGGAGGAACTCAAACAGCACACCTGGGGCATCACACCCATGGCTGAGGGCTGCCTGTGCTCTGGAACCGGCTGGAACAGGGTGGAATTGGCTGGAACAGGTTGGAGCCAGTTGGAACTGTCTGGAACAGGCTGGATGTGGCCAGAGCAGCCCCAGCACTGACCCCCTCCTCAGGCAGGCCCAGCAGCTCCCCCAGCACCGTCCCCTCAGCGCCCGGACCCAGCACAGCCAAGCTGGGAACTCGCGTGCCACCCGTAATATTCACACTGCGAAACCTTGCACTCATCTGAGCGAGTGGCACTGGGCAATCCACACTGGGCAATCCCGCACTGGGCACCACACACACCATTTTCCAAGGTGCCCACAGAAGGCGGGAGGTTCCCTCTCCCTCTCCACACCATCAAGCAGCCCCTTAACCCAACCCTCGTTTGACAGAAGCTCCTTGTAAAATGTGGTGGTAACACTTGCCACCTAGTCAGAGTGTTTCTTTGCCTGCTCACTGGCCACCACCATGCTCAGGGGATGAAGAAGCCGTGGATGCTGATGTACCAAGCCCCGAGTTCGGGTGAGTGCGATCCATGATTTTCCGAGATGCGGTCTCGTTCCATTTTTTACTCCAAAGATTCAATGCCCCTTTGGTGCCTAACCAAACTAGCAATTAGTTGTCAAGGCGCAGCTGAAATGTCAAAATAAAACCAGTAGATTTAATCAGCATTTCCATGGTAGCTGAAATTATGCTGCTTAATGGCTGAAATGGGTTGCAATAAAAGTGAGTTGACTGTGTATCCCTGAAAATTGATTCCTGGAAGAACAGTCAAACACAATTGCTTCAGGAAAGAACATTAAAAAATATTAAACCATGGGTCTCTCAATTGCTTTAAAACATGGGCATAAAATCTAAATCTCTTTAGGAGTGTACCAAATTTAGCCATAGATTTAGCTGGAGAAAATAAATTTAGAAAGGGAGATTTTGTTTGGAATAAATCTTTGGAACAGCCTAGCTGATTGCCTTTTCATAAAGACTACATCTTCTGTGGGAAAATCATCCTAACTAACTCTCCCTGATGCCTTGGATATTTGAGGGTTTTTGGTGAAATATCTCATTGTTTTCATTTTACAGCCACAGACAATAGTGGTCTCTCACCAGGACAATGTACACAAAAAAGGTAAAAAAACTTGATTTGAAAATTGTGGGTTTGACCCATGAGGTTAAAACTGGAAATGTTATTCTATATGTGACACTTAAATTGGACACGTATCTAAAAGTATCCAACAAAGATTTTAAAGATAAAATTATTTTATAAACAAGACTGTCGTTGATATTACCATAGGCACCAATTTCACAACATCTCAAGAATCATGTGCAGGTCATGTTTACAACCTTTTTGAGGTGAAATATTCTGCTACTCATGTTCATTCTTAGGTAATTTTTTAATGTAGTTTTTTGATGTAATTTTTTGAGGTAGTTTGATGATTAATGTCTCAATACATTGTGGTTTTATACAAGATATTTGGGAAAAAATATATATACGGAAATTGGTATTCTTTTTGCAGTTCTTCATCTGGATAATGACACAGAAAATACTTCCATCATGCAAATTAATCTTGTGGAGAGATGTGACAGACTGATGTTAACTATCTTACTGTCAAATTTTAAAGCAGTATCTCATTTTTCCTTAGCTTTCTTTAAGTACCTAAATCTATCTATATGTTTTAAAAAGCATAAAAAATGGTTAAAGAAACTTTATTAGCTTTACCTATATGTCCATTTTATGTTGATAATGTCTGAGGTTCAAAAGCTGAAACTCTAGGAAAGGGTGATAATTCCATATTTTGTCATAGCATGATAAGGACAAGTGCAATAACAATGCAGCAGATATGAAGATGTTTACAGTTAGCAGCCTGCCTGTCACACCTCTCATTATCTTGCATGCAGATGGCTTTTATAATGTTTTTCACAAGTATCGTGCAATACTGAAATGAATTCTATAAAATGATTTGCCATACGTTAATAAATACTATGTACATTTTGATTACACCTAGGCTGAAAGAGAGGGGCATTTGCATATAGAAGATGTCAGATATCTCACTAATGGCCAATATTATTTATACAAGCACCTTACAATTAATTACAGATGAAGATTACTACTGGGAGAAGAATTAAAGACAGTTGGTTTAGCACAGCCTAACAGGTTTCATATAGATGCACTGAACTACCTAAACACAATTTGAAAAGTCAGGAAAGGTTGTGTGGATACCTAACTTTGCTGCTGCAAATACATAACCAGCCACTTATCTCTTTCATCCCAAATTAATGTTTTGGGAATAGGATAAACACTGTGACAGGTACTTTGAATCAAACATTGATATCAAAAGAGCAAAAGATAGAATATTTTTAGCTTAAATATTCCACCAAATGTTAAGTCTAAGGACTGCAGTGACAAGAACTTTAGGAAATATTGGAAATAGCTGCCCATCCAGAGAACTGTTCTTGCAGAGATGCTTAGTGAAAGATGTGTGTAGAGTGACTTAAGAGGTTTGCCATTTCTTATTAACAAATTAACTGTAAAGTCATTGTAGTACTTAGCAGCTCACAAATACACAGGGCAAGAGCAATGAGAGGAAAGGAACAGCAAGAGCCAAGTGCACAGAGCAGGGAGAGGCAAGGCAGGCAATTTTATCCCACCCCTGCCTTGGCTGCCCCATCTGCCAGGTGATCTCTTATGTAACTCAGAATATCCTGCAGTTCAATTACCTGGTTCTGCCTGGCATAGAGAGTGGCTGCCAACCTGGCAAGAGCTGGATACACCTGTTGTTTCTTTGCATTTTAATATCATTGTTTATCATTACTGTTGCATTAACTGCTGGTTCCCTCAAGAAATATGCATAGTTAAATCTCTAATAGTATTTTTCTACTCTGTGTGAAAACCTTGCTCTTCTTTTGGGTAAATGTGCAAATCCAAGTTAGAAATATCCTCATTAGCAACCTGTTTACAGTTATATTTTGTGTGTCCTAAATGATTAAAAGAACCATCCAAAACAGCAGTGGACCTCAGTCTCAGACCAAAAAAGAGGTCATCCCCTTTTATTTTGCTGCTGCTTCATCCAGTGCTTAATTACCTTCAGCTAAATACCCCTAAAACTGCTGAATATTGATTTGTTTTTATCTTTGGTTGTAGTTCTTCCCCTTCCTGCTAACTCACAGAATTTTCTATTGTAGACAACCTTTGTTTTGATCTCTGCTCAGATAACTTTTTTGTATAAAAGCTGTTTTATTCTTTCAGTCCGCACAACTTGATGGTGACTCTCCATGCAACCTCTTATTTTCTTTCGCTGTGTGTGCTCTGTGGTAGCTGTTACCTCTGCATTGAGAGAGATGTCCTAGAATGGAAGTGCTGAATTACTAATGCACATGTGGGCATTCAGAAAATGTACCATATGAATCTCAAATAGCATCTAATTTGACATTATGGCCTATTCAGCATGCACAACATTCACATAACAATCACAGTCCACAGTCATTTTGTGCTAAGAATCATACAATCACTTTGTTAGACTCACTTTCAGAAAGTTTGATTTTCCTGTCCAACACATATACCTGAAAGTAAAATCATTGTTTTGGAAATTTCTCAGTAATTATAAATCCTCTAGAAATAAAGTGATTCGTATGTCTTTTAAGAAACAAGGTTCTTTTTGGTTGCTGCATGTATCTAGTCATGGAATTATTGGAATTATTATAGCTGTGTTCATCTAATATGGAAATGCCCGTACTATGTAACACCTTTCAGCAATAGATCAATCCACGTTTTGAAAACTGTTTCAGGGGAATTCATGCCAGAGATGTGTGCACTGAAAGTCATTACAGCAACCACTGTTAATCTTTTTTAGACTAAAAAAACATTCCCAGACATTTTGTGGTCAGCACAAGAAATTGGACATTCCAGGAGACACTATTCATGTTCTCATTTACTTCCCTACACGTGCTCTGCAGAAACTTCCATACCATTTCAGATGAGATGCTGTGTGAAAGGACACTGACTTTGTTCCTGCTTGTGTGCCTGCACCACAAAGGCACCTCTAAGAAATTGTCTGGATAAAGATTTTACAGCCTATATGTACTAAAATGCATGGATACATGTTCTGCACTTGTAAGGATTAAAAAAAGCAGGAAGAACCCCCACCTACTTCATTAAAAAATAGAATGTCTCACTAATGCAGCATCACTTTTACTTTTTTCTCCCTAATTCAGTAGCTACAGAAATTATCACGCCCTAAACTGACTTCTCTGAACATCAGACTTCTCACTGTGTGAAGTGATCTGACATTAAAATACATTCATTGACTGGCTGCAGAGCTGAGACTCCAGCACTATTCCCCATGTATCTTTGTTTAGTGGCTCTGCACAACAGATGGAATTTTATGTCATGCAGCATTAGGCTACTGTTAAATTTTAATTTCAATTAATGGTCTTTATACTCTTTCTTTATGCACACCAGGGATACTTTAGGCATCCATTTCCCTTCTAATTAGCTTTTATTGCTGAATTCATTCTGAATCTCTGGAAGTCATTAGATTCTCTAGGATTCGCAGCTGAATTTACTTACTCTCTAATAAAATTAATTAGTCCCTCAAAAAAAAAGAAGAAAAAAAAGGCTGAATTTGGTCTACTTTTATGCATATAGGTAAATATTAAAAATCTGAAGTGTCCACACATCCCTTTCTGCTAGAGTTTGCTTGTTAATGTTGACTTTTATCCTGGTTATTGACGTCAGTATTTCTCAGGTTGATGCTTTGCCTACTTCATTTAAAATGAAACCCTGTTTCCAGGGCTATGTCTCCTGGTTTATGGCACAACATCACTTTTACACCACATGTGTCAAAGAGCAGGTTTGTATTGTGAGTTTCCCTAGAATATTGTGCTCACTGTAAAACTGAGCCTAAGGCACAGGTAATTTTCATAAGCTCTGCTTGAGAAACTCAGATGATCTATGCTGAAAAATTGTAATAAGTATAAAAACTTATTGGTCTATTGGAAAAAAGAGAAACAACCAAGGTAATGCAAGAAAGAAAGGAGTCAATATCACACCAGTGTGACTGCTTTCTGTATTTTTAGCATTTGGACAGTTGTTTATAAAAAGTCTTGGCTAGCTTAGTGGCACAACAACATTAAGCTCTAATTTATCACCATGCTATAACTCTGAAAATTGAATAATATACCTTCAGGGGAGAGGCAGTGAAAGATTTCTTATTGTATATATTACAGTGGAATATTTATGACACTAGTTAAGAGTCTGTGACAGCTTTTGTGGTAGCCTCCCATTTTGAGAAGCATAAATTCTATGTGGTTATTATATGGCCACAACATTAGTAATTAGTAAAATATTGCAATATTTATAAGACTCAAAATTGAACTTAGCACATAAGTTTCCTTCATTTATGCTTTTTATACATCCTGCATTACGTTGAGAACCTGGTCATGAACATGCTGTAGACATTTCTATCTGTTCAGGTGTCTAAATATGAAGTTACATTTATACAAGAGACACCATGTGTGACATCTATATG